CATTTATGTGTGGTAATTAACTCGGGGTACACTCATGACACCTATTGTCTTTCTCACTGACCGCTATACCTTGTTTATGGTGTGTTCAGAGTGACCGTGTACAGTTTGCAACTGTTTGAAATAACATTTTCTCTATGTGTGAGAACTTTTTTTAATCAAAACAAAATAAAAGTATCAAAGAAGCTATTGACGGGTTAAGATTGTGCATAATGAGACGATTATTTTGATATCCATCATGGAAGTAAAATAATTAAAAGCAGATTTAATATGCTTCAAAAATACTTTGACACATATTTTTCCGTCAGTCGTTTTACATAAATAAGCCCCCAAAAAATCCTATTTCGGGTATTTGTTATTCAATTTGTTTGTATTGTCAGTTTTAAAAATAAAAAAGATTGTTTTTATAATAAATACATGCAGTTAATAAGTTTATTTATTTATTTATTTTTGGGTTTTTTTTTTTTGTTTATTAACTCTTTAAAATCAATTATTGTATTTATTTTAAAAACTTAATTATTCTAAAATGCACCAATACCCCCTGCTGTCTCTTTCTCTCTTTTTCTTTTTTCTTTCTTTATTTTTTACAAATGGAAAAAAAATGTCAAACCAGTATTTAACGAATAAAACAGATTGCAGCGAAATAAATTCATAGTAAATTAAAAAAATAAAATACATGAATAATAAAAAAAAATATTAATTAAATATCAATCTATTTCTTTATTTTTGAAATTGAAAATAGTACAAATTAATGAATCATTCAATCTGCAAGAAATTGTGTTTCTTTAGTTTTACTTTAAAATTATATAAACACTCGCATCTGTAGATGTGCTACAAAGTATTTTATTAGCGTATTAAAACGACTTTTCTTTATTTTAAGTACATGATGTATATCAAAATAATCAGCTTATTATGCACAATATTAATCTGTCAATTTGATTTTTGATACATTGATTTGATTTAAAAAATCGGTTATCAAAACCCTAACACGGTTCTGAAACAACATCAAAGCCATTGATGTTTACCAGTAATTAACTCGGGGTTCACGGTCATGACACCTATTATCTTTTTCACTGACCGCTATACCTTGTTTATGTTGTGACAGGACGACCGTGTATAGTTTGCAGCTGTTTGAAATAACATTTTCTCTTTTTATGAGAACTGATATTGGTGCATTTTGGAATCAAAACAAAATAAAAGTATCAAAGAAACTATTGACGGGTAAAGATTGTGCATAATGAGACGATTATTTTGATATCCATCATGGAAGTAAAATGATTAAAAATAGTTTAAATATGCTTCAAAAATACTTTGATACATATTCATTGTTAATCAGTTTACATAGAATATGCGAAACAAATCCCATTTTCGGGTATATGATTAATTAGTTTGTTTGTATCGTCAATTTTAAAAATAAAAACATTGTTTTTAGAATGATTAAATACATGCAGTTAATAGGTTTATTTTTTTTTTTTTATTTACTCATCAATTAGGTCACTCGATTTAAAAAAAAACTAAAATATTCCAAAGTGCCCAAAATTTGAATTTAATATTTTTTTTTTTTTCAAAAGTAGAATCCACAACACAAGAAAATTTCTACTGATGTTATATAAAATATTAAGTATTTTTGAATATTAAAACTGCTTTTAATATTTTAGCCACCTGATGGATATCATGTTGATTTGTAGATTTATTCCAAACCAAACGAAAAGGGATAAACACTAGATTCTTCTTGTTTAATAATTTTTATCTATTTCATTTTTTTTTAATGCATTTATATACTCTTTACAATATTTTTTTTCATTAATTATTTCAAAATGTTATATATAACAAGAGGCCCAATGTTTATAGGTCACCTGAGCATTATGCAACAACTTTCCAGTGATTTAATTTGATTCATGTTTTAATATATATATATATAAATTCACAATTTTGAAATAGGCACCATTGATCATCATAACAATACACTTAGCAGTTGCTTAGTTTGTTTACTTAATACCACATAAAAAAAATACATTGAACAAAAAAAGCATTTCAAGTAATCAGTAATATTCAGCATGATCAGTTTTTATGCCCCATATCACACATGAACCCCTGACCCTTAAAGCCTAGATCCACACATTGCACAATTTTTGAAAAGGCACCCTTGCTTTTCAAAAATATTTGATAAATACCAAGGAGCAGATTTCAAACAATTCATCCAGTTTCAGTATATAAGTACAGCCCCCCCCCCTCCTTTATGGTACCCCTGACCCTGGGGCCTTGAAATTCACAATTCTGGAAGATTAGGACCCTTACTCATCATAACTACATAGGTAGTTCATCTGCTTAATACCAAGGAGCAGAGAAGAAAACTTTCAAAGATTTAGTGTATTTTCATTGTATAATCAATAAAGCCCCACCCTATCACTAGAATCCCTGACCCTGGGGCCATAAAATTCACAATTTTGGAAGAGGCACTCTTGCTCATCATAACTATGCACTTATTTAGTTTATTTTATACCCAGGAGCAGAGAAGAAGATTTTCAAAGAATTCATGTATTTTCACTATATAATATATAGAGCCCCCCCCCCTTACACCAGAACCCCTGACCCTGGGGCCATAGAATTCACAATTTTGGTAGAGACACTCTTGCTCATCATAACTATGCACTTATTTAGTTTATTTAATACCCAGGAGCAGAGAAGAAGATTTTCAAAGAATTCAAGTATTTTCACTATGTAATCTATAGAGCCCCCCCCCCCCCTTACACCAGCACCCCTGACCCTGGGGCCATAAAATTAACAATTTTGGTAGAGGCACTCTTGCTCATCATAACTATGCACTTATTTAGTTTATTTAATACCCAGGAGCAGAGAAGAAGATTTTCAAAGAATTCATGAAATTTCACTATATAATCTATAGAGCCCCGCCCTAACACCAGAACCCCTGACCCTTGGGCCATAAAATTCACAACTCTGGTAGAGGCACTCTTGCTCATCATAATTATGCACTTAGTTAGTTTATTTAATACCCAGGAGCAGAGAAGAAGATTTTCAAAGAATTTATGTATTTTCACTACATAATCTATAAGAGCCCCACCCTAACACCAGAACCCCTGACCCTGGGGCCATAAAATTCACAATTTTGGTAGAGGCACTCTTGCTCATCATAACTATGCACTTAGTTAGTTTATTTAATACCCAGGAGCAGAGAAGAAGATTTTCAAAGAATTCATGAAATTTCACTATATACTTATTTAGCCCCACCCTAACACCAGAACCCCTGACCCCGGGGCCATGAATTTCACAATTTTGGTAGAGGACTCAATGCTGATTACAATCATGCAAACAGTTTGACTGCTTGATGTCCAGGAGTAAAGAAGAAGATTTTTAAAGATTGCACTAATTTTAGTAGTTTTTGCCCCACCCCCCAGGCCCCAGGGGGGCAGGGCCCATGAAATTCACAATTTTTGTTCCCCTTCACCCATAGATGCTATATGCCAAATTTGGTTGAAATTGGTTCAGTGGTTTCAGAGAAGAAGCTGAAAATGTTCAAATGTTAACGCACGACGCACGACGAACGACGACGGACGAAAAGTGATAGCAATAGGTCACCTGAGTTTACTCAGGTGACCTAAAAAATTAAACAAATTCCGTCCCTGGGGAGATCAATATACAATGGATCAAGTTCACATATATCATTGGATTCATTTGATTCTGAAGGTTATTTACGGCCCCGGGCAGACAGTGATAATATATATGATGAAGTTGTGTAAATTCTTTTCTTTCAGTTATCTTTGCAGTTCTGGCTACCACTTTTATTCTTGCATTGTTATAATTTTTTGCTATAAAAAAAGAGACAGATCAATGTACATTATCCTAAATATTATGAACAATTTGAGTTAAATGCAATAGATACCTAGTATATTTTCTCTTGCTTTCAGTTACATCTACCTGCTTGTCAGCAATATCCCTTGGATGCTTTTGTGCTTCAATAGCTTGCATTATAAGAAAGAGATTAAATAGAGCAAGACTTCTGCGATTAAATAATTCATAAGTACAAGCATTGGGAGAGGATTCGATTGTAAATGATGAACCATCTACCGAAAATTTGTTACTCTGATTGATGTCAATTTTATACCGTTTTGATTTTTCTTTGTAGGCATTCTTGGTATTTTCACATACATAAAAATTCAGCTAGAAATGATTAGAAGAAAACTTGCTGCAATACACAACCTTTTGTTGCAAATGTACAAATACATTAGAATTTTTGTAACAAAAATTATGGTTTTATCAAAAGAGATCATTATGTATAGAAGTCAAAATCAGATGACTAAAAATAATGTTCAAACAAAAAAGTACACTGAACAAAGAAGATATCCACAAAGAGTCAGAAAACAAACATCTTTTTATGGAATAAACAATTAAGGATTCTTTTCAGAAATGACATAAGTATGTGATAGTGTGCCAGTGGAATGCATCTTTTCATTACCTCACATGTCTATTATTGAATTTTACAATTTATATGTTTTTATTTCAGTACTGAGTTTAATATTTGGCATTATCATCAGTTTCATTATCTTGTTATATTATCATCAAAAGAAAAAGCGGCGACAAAGGGATTTAAGTTTCGATATTCTAAGTTTCTACATTAAAGATGAAGAAGCATTACAAAGATACAGATAAAGTAATAACTTGGGGTTTGAAGAACTAGAAATAAATACCACCAGTTTATAAAAAGAGGAAAAGAAAAAAGAAAAGTGAAACAAGATTCCCATTAAACTGTTTGATAATTAATGTTCTTTTAAAACCTGGATGCAGGAAAGCTTAATTATGTAAGGTTTACAGTACAAACAAGTCCTTAGCACATAAGAGTATATTCATGTACTGGAGTATGCAAAAAAAACCAAACTTTTAGCTGAGGTTTATATTTTATTTTATCCAAACTTTGTCAAATATTGTACAACAAAATAAACTGCTGTAATGTGTGGTCGTCCGTGTCCCTCGAATGCTGGTAGTCTATGGTTCCAAACGGTGTTTGGGTTACACAACTGTCTCTTGCCGCTAAGGAGGCTCAGACACCCCTCTCCAGTGCGAAGAGATTACACTTCCCCCTCTCCAGTGCCGAGGAGGTTACACGTCCGTCTTGCGTTCAAGACAACGAGATGTGACTGGTACGGGCCGCCATCTCTACACTACTACACAGGAATGATCAGTGAGACCTGTTAAATATCATATACAGGATAATATAGACATACAATTTACGCTGTGAAACGTTACATTGCAATATGTACAATGCAGTTATTGCTATACTTCTCAACAGTTATTACAAAACGTAGAACCGACAAATAAAGATACACACAAGCCACCGTACATTTAAAATTCACGCAGTTTCGAACACATTGTAACTATAAATAACACAACTTAAAAGTATGAAATGGAATAGCTTAAAGTTACATATGTTTTTTTTTTTTGGAAAGCATTTAGCATTTTAAAGAAAAATATTTGCAACCAGTTACAAGTATCAGAATACTTAAATAAATAATCAGTCTTGCTTCATTCTTTATTTCGAATTCATTTGACCGTTCACGGTAGCTCAGTCGGTAGAGCGCTCGCTCCGTGATCGGGAGGTCGTGAGTTCGTATCTCGGCCGCGACTGACCTAGTCGTTAAAATTGGTAGCAACTGTTCCTTCGCCATGCGCTCGGCACTTTGAAGTGAAGGTTGCGGGTCCTTCGGATGAGACCTTAAAAACCGAGGCCCCTTGTCAGCGGCAGGCGTTGGCACGATAAAGATCCCTCACTGCTCAATGGCCCTGAGTGCCGAGTAAAGGTCAAAATTTGAAGCCCTTCACCGGCATACGGTGACGTCTCCATATGAGTGAAAAATTGTCGAGAGGGACGTTAAACAATATACAATCAATCGAATTCATTTGTGTACATTCATAGATCTGATTCAAAAAAGTATTTTATGCAAACAGAGAGATTAAGAGAGAGAGAGAGAGAGAGAGATAATTTGAAACTGGAATAATTTTGGTAATCAAAGTAGAATATACTAGAGGTTCCAAGAATTTTAAAGTTTTTAATAATTAAGTTCATTAAAGTTTTTTTTGTATTTTTGGTCATGGAACCCTCCCACGATTAAAAGCATATATGATTTATGCTGTATCTATGAAAAAAAGCAGTAAATTAAACAAAACAATATTAATCTGATACAGTTTTTATCATCCATTTTTCCACACAAATTTATCACTATATACATGATCAATTTCAAAATATTTAAGAATTTATTAAAAGTCAACCTAGTGGTACTATGAGGTATAGGAGCTCATTTAATGATATCTCCCGCCACCCATATGAATATAATATATAATGAATACAAAATAAACGCGTTATACATGTATATCAAATGCTTTATTGTTAAATATTTTCATCATCTTTTTTTGTTTATAAATATTCATTACATATATATATATATAGGAATTTTGCATGTGCGATATGGCTGACCTCACAGTAGCTGTATCAGCCCTACAGGGCTATAATGAATTTGCGGGCTGAGATATGTTATCGATCAGCTCCGCAGGGCTGATACGGATCGAAGTCGGTGCATGGTTTTTTTTGGGGGGGGGCTCTCAACATAATGCGTTCTTTATTTTATTACTAAGTATGTAATAAATAAGACAAAAGTTACCATTTTCCATTTTATATTCTGTATCAGCCCGCGACCAAAGCAGCCCACGGGCCTTCTGCACTATATATATATATATATATATATATATAGCTGATATTGGTGTCTCGGGCTGATACAGATCGATGTGATATGGAAAAGGGTATGTATTATTCTCTATGTAAACAATATTTTATTCGATATAAAATAAAAAAATTATTGACATATTATATATCACATTGTAAAACATCAAAAACACATTTAAACTTGAAATATAAGCGGGTTTTCTTGAACAGGTCTATTTTCCTAAACGAAACGTATAATTTTTTTCTTTAAACTATATTATTCTTGTTGTATTTTCCATTAAATCTAATTATACTTATATGAAAAATGCATTAATTATATCACAATATATTTTATGTTTACGTCTACATTTTGCACCTTTTAAATTCAATTTTAATGGCAATTTTGCCATTAAATCTTTGTTTAATACAACGAACAGTTCTATGGTAATTGATTAATAATTTTAATTCCAGCTCTGGATAGTAAATGATCATTAATTTCAGAAAAGGGGGGTAGACGACATTTTCTATACTGAAATCGAACTTTGAAGAATCACTTTATTTTGAAATACAGATTCAGCAAGAAAACGAAACAACTTCAGTTGTGTCAAAATATAATCAAGGCAGAATAGCTATAGGTGGTCAATATGATCGTTGGATGGAATTAAAAGAGACGCTGCAGCTTAAAACTCATGCTGATGTAGCAGAGTACCTTCTTGATCGGTAAGTAAAATAATGTTTATTTCCAAAAAAACTGCAAAATAAATCTTTATTTCAGTATTAGTATTAAGTAATAGAAATGAGTTTTATCATTTCTTTTTATCTAAAACTGCAATAATTTTGAGAGAAAATGGGGATTAAGCCGATTAACAAATGTAAACAGTGTGTAAACAAACCAGGAAAGCCGATGGGGCCCCCAGGGGGTACACTTTCATTGTGAAGTAAATGCGATAGGGGTTAATAACAGATAAAACCTGCCGCTTTATTGATTATGTTTGTATAAAATAATGCTATATATACAGAATTTCAGATAAAAGTACTAAAACTATATTGAAATTAATTAAGTAAATCAATGAGTGTTTCAAATAAAATTGTGTTATATAGGCATACTTCAACTATTTCATCTATATAGGAATGAAACCTTGGCATTTGAAAGTTCTCCTAAAAGGGTTAAAACTGCATCAAGTGCAGTAACATCAACACCGGGACCAACAGCTACCATTCTCCCACCCAAATTTTCAGATGTGTCTGAAATATCTTCAGATCTGGACAAGGGGGACAGGTAAATAAACAAGAATGGCAATCAGATTAAAATATTCTCTAAAACTTTAGTTGTATCTAATCCTAATATCACCATTCTTGAAAGATATATAAAATAACCATGTATTTTATTCTATCCTATTCTAAAGGTGTTATGTTTCTACTTTTAGAAATTCAGATTTATCTGGTGTAGAACAGTTTGTAAAAACTGATAAGAAAACGACAGCTCCAAGCAGTTTTTTGAATCCTTTAGAGTAAGTACAAATATTTAAATCATAGATTATAGTCTTCTGTTATAAGATTTGATATGCATCGGAGTACTTTAAAATAGAATTTGTTTTTACTGATTTATGTCATTGTATTTATATTAGAATAATTATCATAATCTATGTTGATCTTACAGAAATTTTGTTTTGTAGTCTCTCAATCTGCTTATCAGAAAACTACACCAAGGAGGACTCAGAGGATTCATCAGATGAAGATTATGAGCCTAGTTACATAATGACCATGAGGTAAGATTTGCAAGGACACCTTGCCGTTAAGCCAGTAAATTATTTAATTTATTTTCATATTTCAATATTTTCAATCTACTGACTAACATTAGAATTATTAATAAAATTTAATCCCTGTCATAAGAGAGGACACTCAGACTGAAGCCATGGTTGAGGACTCTGAAAATGAGGATAGCTGTGATGAGGAATCAAATGATGATCTTCGCCCCGGGATTGCCAAAATTTTAACTCCAGAAGAGATTGAGGGCTGTAAGGAAGATCGCCCTTTCCTTGTTTATCTTTCACAGCTTCACACATTAGCTGAAGTGCGTGTCCTACCAAATTGTCAGCTCAAAGGATGCAAAAAACCAGTGCATTTGGAGAAAGCTGTGGTTGGATCAGCACTCTATTTCAAATGGGTACGTAAGAAAATTGGCTTGTAATCTCATGTTTTAATAAAGTACCCAAGTACTATGAATTGGAAAAAAATAATAAATTATCATATGGTCTATTTAAAGAATTGTTCTGATGGACATCAAGCTCAGCAGTGGTGTTCACAGCCTGTCCTAAACAGAGGAATGCATCTAGGGGATTTGACACTCTCCTCTTCCATTCTTCTCTCTGGAAGCAACTTTCAGAAAGTGTCAATGATGGCTAAATTCATGAAACTACCAATTGTGAGCAAAAACTCATTTTATAAAATGCAGAGAACATACTTGATTCCAGCAGTGGATGAGTTTTGGACAGAACACCAGGAAACTGTGTTTAACCAGTTTCAAGGAAGAGCTATTACAATACTTGGTAGATATCAAAGTCATTATTGAAAAAAATATCATGAAAAAAATGCAAATATCATAATTGTCTTAATTTTGACATAGATCTATTCATATTTTTTTTTTCATTTATGTTTATTTCTTTTTTCTTTTTTTTGATTAAAGGGGATGGCAGAATGGATAGCCCTGGTCACACTGCTCAGTATTGCTCTTATACATTTATGGAGTATGACACCAAGACCATTCTGCATATAATAACCATGGACAAGCGAGTGACAGAGAAAAAAAGCACAAATCTGGAGAAGGCTTGCTTTGTTCAGGGCTTGCGATATCTACTGGACAAGGGACTTCATATTGTTGAAGTTGTTACAGATGCTCATGTACAAGTTGCTTCAGTAATGAGTAAGTTCAAACAAAACAACCAATATATACTACTATAAGTAAATCCTCTGTTTAAAGATTCCAAAGAGGCATACATGTACCGGTACTTATAAAATGTAGATTTTTTTGATGAATGAAAATAAGTCTTTATTTGTCAATTTTGC